CGGGTGCTCCGGTTTCCTCCCACAGTCCAAAAACATGACTGTTAGGTTGATTGGTCTAAATTGTCCTTAGATGTGTGTGTGTGTGTGCATGATTGTTGGTCCTGTGTGTCTCTGTGTTTCCCTGCGATGGACTGGCTCTCTGTCCAGGGTGTACCCCGCCTGATTGCCCATTGACCGCTGGAGATAGGCACCAGCCCCCCCGCGACCCTACATGGACAAAGCGGGTTCAGAAAATGGATGGATGGATGTCCATAGTTGATCCGACACTCATCTGTTGATGGAGGGTGAGGGTGGTTTTTGTTCTCAGTCTGTTTTATAAAAATATCTGAATCTTCTTTTTTCTCTTTGGGCTTTTCCAGCAACAGCCATGAAACTCATTAAGCGGTGGTGAAAAAGATGTTTTCTAAATGGGCTGCAGTACCCAAATGTGGCCACATGATGTCATTCTTACTTCATTTTTATATATATTTGACAAAGAATACATTTTAGAGCTGGACTCATCTAAAGGATTCAACAAGAAGTGAGTCCTTCTCGACCTTTCGGTGACTTTTGTGGATGTTACCTTGGATCAGCACCAGAGGAAGTAAAGAGGAGTCGTGCACAGAAAGTTGATACATTGTCATGTCTGGTGTTAGCACTCTTACAGTAGGGATCACGTACTACACTTATATAGAGGAAGTGTTGTTTGCGCTCTTGCTGTTAGCTTGCTGTTATAGTTCTGAACGACTCAATAAAGGAAGTAAACCGCCACGATTGACCCATTATTCACGTCACACACAAATTTCACTGTAATGTCGAGTTGTTGGTAATGGAAAAAGTAGCTTGAGATATTTTTAGAGCCAACTATTTGTTTCTAATTCACTGTTAGCATTTTTAGCTCAACGTTAGCCTCTAGCCTGCTTCCCCGACGTGGAGCCTAGTTTTTTCTTCTTCGTCATCAACTTTGTGCTCACACACATATACTGAGTGAGACATTTACCTTTTATACTTCACCACTGGTGTGTCAGTGTTGTGAAGCAATTCTCCCCTGAACAGCAGAGAGTGTAGCACTTTTCTGTGGTATGAAATCAAATTAATCAAAGATACTTTATTAATCCCAGAAGGGAATTAGAGTTCCAGTACACACAATTCAGAGATCAGACATACATGGGCAAGACACATGACAAGAATTGGTGACTGTGGTCATTTGCAACCCTGAGTCGCACTACCTTAATAGAGATAAGAGGGTTACATGAGGATTGGTTCAGGTGGAGGGAAAAAAGGCACTTCAGAGCTACCCTCCCACCAGGAGGGCAGCTTTGCTCGGCAAAAAAACACCTCAGACACATATGCAACAGACTTCAGACAACACAACATAAGTGTCCACTAGGTGGGGTGGTGGGTTTGGGACTATCCCCACTTCAGTTCTTATAGCCACGATAAGCAGCGCATGTCACCTCTGTGGATAGGGGAAGGAGCATTGAGGGTTGCAGTGACCCTGGAACGTTTCAGAGGCATTCCCGCAGTTCCGCCCAGGCTGGGAAAGGAGACAGAGTTGAGTTGCCATAGCGATGGCACAATCCACATATCTTCTGAGGGGGAGTTTTCGTTGTAGCCTTGCAGGCTCAAGGACACCAGATTCCGATTAGAAATTGTTTTGGGGCCAGACAGAGATAATTTCCTCTCTGTCTTACAGTTTGTTGGTCCTCAACCTCTCAAAATCCCAATAATGGACATTAATCTATCCCAATCCGTGCTGATTCGTCCACTCTCTCCTTGATGGCATCCATCTTTTGTGCCAATGAATGAATCTCCGCCAAAATCCCAAGATTACGATTCATCTCGACAATTATTTGAGTCTGTGAATTCACAGCGCGGTGCAGTCCATCTCTGAGCTCCGGGATCAGGCCAATATTCCTCGACAGCTCGTTAATTTTCCGGTAAGCCAGGTAGCCTCCAAGGCCAATGAGCAGGAAACCTGACACCAACACCACGAATATCCACACGTCTTCAGAGACCTCCACAGAGAGCTGAGAAAGACAAATCAAGTTCCACTGTTTCCAGGAGTCCATGATGTGTCCAACTGGGTCTGTCTCGGAGGGGCATCCGGGAGCCCCTTCTCCCGTTCTCATTGTTGAAAATATTTTATCAATCGCATTGAGTGACCAACTGACGAGATCCATTTGAGTGAATTTCAGTTTCCAGTTTCCAGAAAAATGCAGAACCAGCCGTGCACCCAGCACACAGAGACAGAAAAAGGCCTTGAGGATAAGATATGGAGGAGAGGAGGAATAAAGCGTCTGCACCCTCCAAGAGCCGCAGTTACATCTCTAGTGTGTTGTTTATATTGTGTTTATTTATTTCAAATACTTTTTACCACAGATGAGTTTGTCCTCCAAATCTTCATCCAGTCACCACCTCTAAACTCACGTTTCCCGTAGTTTCCTGACACAAAAAAATTAATACAAAAATTTGTCACGGGTGTTTAAACATTTATATCGTTGGACTTTTTCCCATGAGTTCTTCTGTTTGCTTCATGTCAGTCACCAGATATGTTCAATTCTCGTTTTATTTATACATGGGACTGTTATCACTCATTTGCTGGAGGTAAAACATTTTTTTTAACTTACAGCACTTTTCCTTTTTTAGGGTTTTAAGTATTTTGTCATAGAAATTTTGGTTTCTGATCTTCGATATTTTTCACAGAAGAATTTTTCAACATGTTGGTCTTTCTTAGGATTAAATGGGAGGAAATTTAAAAATACTTTATTAGTTAAAAACAATTAGTTAGTATGATTAAAATGGCCCTAATTGCTTTGATGTGTAAAGTATAAATAAAATAATATTAAGGCAGATTTGGTGTTGTAATCCAGGCAGTTCTGTTATAGGACATAGCTCCTGCTCTCCTCATTCTCACAGACACTGTCACATTTGTGCATTCACCAGCATTTTCTTTAACAGTGGCTGCCTCCACTTTTCTGTTGTGTTTTCTCTCCCTCTAGATTGTGATAATAACGGTGCACACCGGTGCACAGAGCAAAAGGGAGCGGGTGTCTCATGATCCCTGAAATTCAGATGAGCCACAGAGCTGCATGTGCTAACGGGACAGTGGTTCAAACTCTCGCTAACTTTGTTATTTGCCAAATGTGGGAAGGGCCAAAGTGTCTGACGGCTGCAGACCCGGAGACTGCAGATTCATGCCTGCGCCATCTCTAGTAGAAGTGTGAATCTGCAGCTCTGCAGCTTCCTCATCGACCTGCCCGAGAAAGGTTTAAGATTGGTCAGTCCGTCAACGCAACTCCTTTTGCACATGTGCAGATCATTCTCTTTCCTTGCTCCCGGAAGAATGGTCCGGAGCGCAAATGTTTTTTTGTTGCCCAACTGCAGGGAATATCTACAAGAAAGTTCTACAGAAAGTAGCAAAGGGTCCTCAGAAATGTCGCTAGGTGCTTTTTGGAAAAAAGTTGTTGAGGGGGGTTGAAAAGTCGCTAGGAGTTGGCACCACTTGCTGTTGTTAAAGGAAGAAATGGCCTGACCAATTACAGGCTTGTGGTCTCCGTCACTTTTAACGGATATGTAGAAAAGTGTGCTCTACTCTATCCGTCTTTGCGAGCCTGTTGGAGAGCCCTTGCGACGACGGATTATGGCGTTGCGTGTCTCCTTCCTGATGCAAATGGAGAAGTATAAACTAAGCTTTAGAGTAAAAAAAACTAAAGAATTTAAACAAAGACTACATCACTCTTTTTTGAAAGAGACAGACTGTTTTGGGATTTTTTCACTGTAGAATTCTTACATATTGTACCTTTAATACAATCTTAAAAATTGAATGTGTTTATTGTTGCTTTAATAAATGTGGACTTTTGACCACGGACGAGTTTGCCCTCCAACTCTTCATCCAGTCACCACCTCTAAACTCACGTTTCCTGTAGTTTCCTGACACACACAAAAAAAAATAAATTTTTTTTTAACACTTTGGTGTGTGTCTTTGTACCCCTTCAGTCACGGGTGTTTAAACATTTATATCGTTGGACTTTTTCCCATGAGTTGTTCTTCAGTTTGCTTCATGTCTGTCACCAGATATGTTAGATTCTCGTTTTATTTATACATAGGACTGTTATCACACATTTGCTGGAGGTAAAACATTTTTTTTAACCCACAGCACTTTTCCTTTTTTTAGGGTTTTAAGTATTTTGTCATAGAAATTTTGGTTTCTGATCTTCGATATTTTTCACAGAAGAATTTTTCAACATGTTGGTCTTTCTTAGGATTAAAAGGGAGGAAAATTAAAAATACTTTATTAGTTCAAAACGATTAATTAGTATGATTAAAATGGCCCTAATTGCTTTGATGTGAAAACCTTACTTGTATCCATCATCGTTTCTTTTATTCTTTCATGGCTAAAATAATTGGGTTCACTTACTTTAGTGTTTACTTGTCGTGAGCTGATGACTTTATTCCAGGCTTTGAATGCACAGGTTAGTAAATTGGACTCAGGTGGATCTTCAGTGGATGAACTTTTCTGACCAAAGTGTATAGACTGAGTCATAAAGACAAGTGACAGAGGTTCATTGACATCTGAAATCTATGGAATAACGTGTTCTTCTACTGTTTATGATCGATTAAGCACAAAAAATAACTTCAGGTGACATTTTGAGAAAGGTTTTTAAGTCAGACCCTCCATTCCCTTGAGAGGGAGGGAATTAAAAACATGTTTTTGCCCTTAATTAACTTTGTTAATACATTTCAGAAAAGCTTGAGAATTTTCTGATCTATTGATTTACAGTCACTCTGCTAATTTGTCTCAAAAGATTTTCCATTCAGAGAATCAACAACAATATAATTAGTTGCATAGTCCCTGGGCTCTAATTACAAATTATGATGGATGAAAAGGGTGCCGTGCTCTCTAGGAACCAACGCTGACTCTGAAATGTCTTTCAGATCTTTAAAAAACTGTTTACAGTTTAGTTTCAGTTTTTCTCTTTACTCAATAATCCATCATAATCTTGTTTCCTATTTTTCAGTAATCTTCCACTTTGCAATCAGCAGCTCAAGAAAAGATTCAGAGGTAAGAAAACCCCATTTTCTTTTTTTTCTGTGTTAAAATTGATGTCTTTTGATTTACTTTCCGTTTTGTTTTTCTGATCCGGAAAAGTACAAAGGCTTTAAAAATGTACGTCGTTTTTTTATGACTGAAAGGCTGGAATTTTGATGTGGTCAGCAGAACAAGTCCGGTTGCTTTTAAGTTTTGAGCTGAGGTGATTTTCTTGCTGCCGCCGTTGCTACTAGATAAATAACTAGCACGGTCAGTTGTTCTACTCACTGGTGTGAAAAGATGTTGACGGTAAACCTCCTGGCAGATGTGCTTACCGTCAAAAAAAAAAAGGAAATTACTGCCCCCCCCCTACTGATGTCATCTATTCATCTCCAGGCTGGGGAAGTTTTTCTTTTGAGTTCTGCCACTTTTTGTTGTAAAAGGTGGAAAAATCATCTTCATATTGATGAAATGGTATATAGATCCCCTACTGCATTATAGTGCTTGTGCTGAAATGTTTCAGATCAGTAAACAAGGGCAAACCACCCAAAAAATCTGGTCCTATATGTAGCGTAGTTAATCTACATAACTAGAATTTAACGCTGTTGCTATGCAGCTTTGCTAAATTCTGAGAAAGATCAAACGAATTGGCAAATGAAACATATCATATATAAATATCCACGGATATTTATATAATCTATAGAAGTTCATACACCAACTGGCTTGGTCTATATTTAATCAAAAGATTAATATTTAATTTAAGAGATTTAAATTAATAGCAAAAGTTTATTTATTAATTCAGGAGATTTAAAGAGATTTTTGCTCGTTCAGTGATCAATATACACCACTCTGTGTTTTATTTCAAAGAAGAGTCAGGTTTAAAAAGTTAAGAATTTATTACTAACAATTTAAAGATGACCATTTAAAAAAGCTTTGATATTAAAAACTTGGTATTAAAGCAATCTGTGTCTGGGTGAAAACTAAAAATGAAATGTGTGTGTGTTTGGACTCTCAAGAACTCAGAACAGGTAAAGCACCACAAATCTGATTAAGTTATGATTGAGGTCAGAGGTCATTCAGCAAGGTAAGACATGGAAGAAAACATGACTTTTATGGGATCGTTCCAAAGCCAAAACCTCTGCTGACTGGTCTATGCACGTGCTTGAAGATATTCTGTGGACTGACTCAACAAAAGTGGAACTTTAGAAAGTGTGTGTCCCGTTCCATCTGGAGTAAAACTAATGTTGCATTTCAGAATAGGAACATCACACTTACAGTAAAACATGGTGGTGGTAGTGTAATGGTCTGGGGCTGCTCTGCTGCTTTAGGACTTGGAACACTCGCTTTAACTGATCCATGAATGCTGCTCTGTAACAAAAGAGCTAGATCAAATTCCTCCACAATGATGTGAGACTCGTTACCAATTATGAAAAACACCTCGTGGTAGTTGTTACTAACCCCTCCTTTCTACCGGAGCTGTCAGCAGCACGTTACTGCAGCAGCACGTCTTGCTCGCGTAAGCTGCTGCTTGGCCCTTCCCACCAGAGACACGTAGCAGCAGGGGAGCAGCGGTCACCGACAGAGCACGAAGTCACATGAGTGACTTCGTCAGTAAACACACAACAACAAGCAGGAGAAAACTACAACATGGCTCCAAAAGGTTTGTGTTTTATGTTCTGTCCATTTTATAATCGCCAATACGGACCTGAAAAACAAAGGAGACCGCTAGCTAGGTGATAACTTCTCACGGGGCCGCACAGTTAGTAACTTTTTTTAAAAGTAAAGCAACCGGAAGGCAGTACGTTTCTTTATTCTGAAAATCTCGGGAAGCTTCGCTCCATTTCCGCGTCCGATTTCCTGTCTTTCCTTTCCCAAAAATGTCGAACTTGACCCGTTTCAGAGGCGTCGCGCGTATAAAATAGAACCGGCGCGTAAAGGCCGCGACATGCTGCTCCTGAGACGCGGCCGACTCGCGCTGCTGACGGCTCCAGTGGAAAAGGTTTTGTTGACCACAGCGGTTCCTATCAGCAGCTATGACGTGCTGCTGCAGTAACGTGCTGCTGACGGCTCCGTCACGGCTCCGGTGGAAAGGAGGGGTAAGGGTCAGTTTATTTTTGAAGCTTAAATGTGTGTGTGTGTGTGTGTGGGGGGGGGGGGGGGATCTAGAATTTACTAAATTCTAAAGGGGGATGTTTCACAGCTCTTTGAGTGTTCAGAGATTTCTGTGAAAATCATTTAAGAAAACAAAAACATTTTGATTTTGCTTCTGAGAATCAAACAGTTATGTCCTTAAAACAGAGCCAAGCTCTTTTACAAAAGCTTCTGTTTCAAATAGAAACTCAAAGAGTAAAATAATTGTTCAGAATCAAAACATTCAAAGATATTCTTTAGATGGAAAGATTTCAATGTCTTCAATCAGGCAAAGAACCCATTACAGAAAATATCGCTACAGAAACACAATCAGCAATAATAGTTGTGTGTAATGTGCTGGAAAAAAGACTCAAGGATGAGTCTTTTAAATTGAAACTGTTTAACGTCTGCATCTATACTCACGTCTTCGAAAACACATAAATCCTACTTCCTCTGCTAGAGAGAAGTTACGAGTTCTTGTTGTAGTTTGTGGACTTTGTCTCATCTCCACATACATTTTATATTGATGTATTTATTATTACAGTGTTTGGATTTCCTAGCAGCCAAGCTCAGTAGCAGCGAGTGCACCAGTTTGTTGTCTCGCTTAAATAATGAGAAAGGAATACAGATTTTTAGGTCAGTTGGATGTTCAAGGTTACGTGGGAGGGTGAGAGGGGGTGGGGCTGTACTGGGTCTGTCATTGAAATTACATGAGGGCACTCTGCAAAGGTTTGGCTTTTGTTTGCATGCACACAATCCCCCCCCAACACATGCCTATAAAGGCATGTCCTCTAAAGGAAACCTAATTGATTCCCAACACAAAGACATTTATGAATAAGGTCATTAATTACTTTTTATTCCACAGGGTGTTGTTAATTTCTGCAAAGTTGTTTCAAGGCCATGCTGTAGTTCATCTTGTGAGGCAGCCACATGTTGGTGATATTCACCCTGTCACCCCCTCCAGGGGTTGGAGGTTCTCTGGAGGTTCTGGAGGTTCTCTTCAAATTCAAAGATACTTTATTAATCCCAGAGGGAAATTAGAGTTTCAGTACACACAGTTCAGAGATCAGACATACATAGTCAAAGACACATGACAAGAATTGGTGACTGTGGTCACTCGCAACCCTGAGTCGTGCTACCTTAATAGAGATCAGAGGGTTACATGAGGATTGGATCAGGTGGAGGAAAAAAAGGCACTTCAGAGTTACCCTCCACAGGGAGGGCAGCTTTGCTATGCAAAAAAACACCTCAGACAGAAATGCAACAGACTTCAGACAACACAACATAAGTGTCCACTAGGTGGGGTGGTGGGTTTGGGACTCTCCAAACGTCAGTGGCTGCAGCCACGATAAGCAGCGCACGTCACCTCAGTCTCGACAGGGGAGGGAGGTTGTAGGGGTTTGGAGTGCACAGTGACTCCTGGAACGATTCGGCGGCCTTCACAGCTCACAGTCCCGCCCAGGCTGGGATAGGTAGACAGAGTTGCCATAGCGATGGCAGCATTCCACATTTCTTCTGAGGGGGGAGTATTCGTTGCGTCCCCACAGGCTCAAGGGCACCAGATTCAGATAAGAAATTGTTTTGGGGCCAGACAGAGATAATTTCTTCTCTGTCTTAAAGTTCCGCTGGTCCTCAACCTCTCAAAATCCCAATAATGGTGTAAATTAATCTATCCCAATCCGTGCTGATTCGTCCACTCGCTCCTTGATCGCATCCATCTTTTGTGCCAATGCATGAATCTCAGCCAAAGTTACAAGCTTATGACTCATCTCGACAATTATATGAGTCTGTTTATTCACAGCGCAGTATAATCCATCCCTGAGCTCGGAGAGAGCACCTATATTCCTCGACAGCTTGTTAATTTTCCGGTAAGCCAGGAAGCCTCCTAGGCCAAAGAGCAAGAAACCTGACACCAACACCACAAATATCCAGACGTCTTCAGAATCCTCTACAGACAGCTGAGATAGGCAAATCAGGTTCCACTGTTTCCAGGAGTCCATGATATGCCCAACTGGCTCCGTCCCAGAGGGGCACCCGGGAGCCCCTTCTCCCGTTCTCATCTTTGAAAATATTTTGTCAATCGCGTTAAGTGACCAACTGACCAGGTCTATTTTAGTAATTTCAGTTTCCAGTTTCCAGAAAAAATGCAGAAGCAGCCGTACACCCAAAGACAGACAAAGAGCCTTGGGATAAGATAGGAAGGAGAGGAGGAAAAAAGCGTCTGTACTCTCCAAGAGCCAGAAGAAGGTAGAACATTGGACAAAGAGACGCTTTGTCCAATGTTCTACCACAGCTGTTGCAATACATTGTCATGGTCTGCATCTGCGTCTCCCCTCATGTGTCTCCTTGTGTTCTCCATCCCTCTCTAGGTTCTCCTTTTGTGTCTCCTAGCGCAGCCTTTCTCAAATGGGGGTACGCGTACCCCTGGGGGTACGTAAAGAAACTCCGGGGGTACGTGAGAAAATGTACATTCATTTAAAAAAAAATAGTATCCATGGAAAATCTTTTAAAAAATAATTATTTAATAAATATTTTAGGAAAATATAAGTAAAAGTTCAAAAAATGTGTTTTATATTCAGTAGAAGTAGGCTAAATTCATTATCCCAAAATCCCAGAGTCCTCCCCCCCAATGCTTTTGCGCTCATTAGGGGGTACTCGGCTGAAAAAAATATTTCAAAGGGGGTACATCAGTCAAAAAAGGTTGAGTACCACTGTCCTAGCGCCTTCATGTGTCCTTGTCTGCGTCTCTTTTATGTGTCTCTTTGTGTTCCTCATGTGTCTCCTGTTTTGCAACCCTCTAGATCATCCCTCCCAGGTCCTGTGTTCCTTCAGTCCTCCCCAGTCACCCCTCCGCAGTTTTTATAGTTTCAGCTTTTCATTTTATTAGTCTCTTTAGTGTGTTT